AATCCTTGGGAATGTCCACACTGTCAAATGGTTGGAACATAGTTTACTCTTCCATCTTTATAGGTTTTCCTGCTTTCTCCAGCATTTCTCTTCTAGCATCCTTTGTACAGCAGGATTTTAATGATCCGCATTCTAACTGGTGAGTATAGTTTTTTTCTATTGTTATTTTCTATGGCCGAGTGATGATGGCACTGTTTATGTGTCTGATTGGCTGCATAAATGTCCTTCCTTTTTGAGATAGTGTTCCCCTGTTCATATACCTTTGTCCACTTTTGATGGGGTTGTTTTTATTTTTCTTGAAATTGGGTTAAAGCAAATTTAACAAGTTCTTGTATTCTGGGCTATAGCCTTTGTTAGATGATAGATTGTATATATCTTTCCCATTTCTATATAGGTCGTCTGTTTATCTTTCTGATGGTAGTTCTGGTTTTGTGCAGAGCTCTAATGGTACTACCTAGGTTTTCTTCTAGGATTTTTATGGTTTTAGGTCTAACATTTAAGTCTCTAATCCATCTTGAATTAATTTTTGTATAAGGTGTAAGGAAGGGGTCCAATTTCAGCTTTCTACATATGGCTACACGGCTAGCTAATTTTGTATTTTTAGTAGAGATGGCGTTTCTCCATATTGGTCAGGCTGGTCTTGAACCAGCCTCAGGTGATCCGCCTGCCTCGGCCTCCTAAAGTGCTGGGATTACAGGCGTGAGCCACCATGTCCAGCTGCCACCATTCTTCTAAACAATGTCTACTTTGCTTTATCTCGATTTATCAGTTTTTTACTTTATTCATTAATTTCCAAATGAGTGATTTTCTTTTTACCACCACTCCCACCTTCCCCCTTCTCCCAATATATTTTGTCACTATTTTTATTAAACGAATACAACAGGCACACTATTGTGATTATGTAATTATTATTCACAGCTGAGACACATAGTATATAGTGTTCTTTTATAACGTTATAACATTCTTTTATAACGTTTTGTTTTTCCTGTAACTTCTTTTAAAAATAGAGATGGGGGCTGGGCGTGGGGCGGGGGAAATCTTATTGTGTTGGCCAGGCTGGCCTCGAACTCCTGGCCTCACCCAAGCCTCCCGCCTTAGCCTCCCAAAGTGCTGGAATTACAAGTGTGAGCCACCACACGAAGCCTGTTTAACCTGCCTCATTTTCTTCATTTCTTTACTTTTTAAACATATACCTATTGCTATTTTTTTTTTAAATTGTGTCTGTGGGTGTCTTTTTTTTTGTGTGTGTGTGAGATGGAGTCTCGCTCTGTCACTCAGTCTAGAGTGTAGTGATCATGGTTCACTGTAGCCCTGACCTCCTGGGCTCAAGCAATCCTCCTAGCTCAGCCTCCCAAGTAGCTGGGATTACAGGTGCACACCACCATGCCCAGCTAATTTTTTTACTTTTTGTAGAAATGAGGTCTTACTATGATTAGCTCAGCCTGGTCTCGAACTCCTGGACTCAAGTGATCCTCCCACTTCAGCCTCCCAAAGTGCCAGGATTACAGGCTTGAGCCATCACACCAGCCCTGAAGAAATTCTTTATCCTGACAGTGTGTTTGACCGAGTTGAGAATGAGGGAAATAGGAATCTGATGGGAAGTTCTCTATTTATATGTGAAGGGCTTATTAATTGCTTGATTTTTCCTGTAAAATGATCAGGGGGAAACTTGCTTTTTCCTTTGATGACTCCGAAAATGAGAGTGTGTGGGAATCATATATCTGAGACAACTCAGGTTTTCTAGAGAAGAACCTTCAATCTCCTGTCTGGGCACAAACTTTCTGGGAGTAGGAGAAATGAAGGGGACTGGAAGTCTTTGGGGTTTTTGTTTGTTTGTTTGTTTATTGAGACAGAGTCTGGCTCTGTTGCCCAGGCTGGATTGCAGTGGCGCAATCTTTTTTTTTTCGAGACGGAGTCTCACTCTGTCACCCAGGCTAGAGTGCAGTGGTGCCAGTGGCACAATCTTGACTCACTGCAACCTCTGCCTCCTGGGCTTAAGTGATCCTCCCACCTTAACCTCCCAAGTACCTGGGACTACAAGTGTGCCGCCATGCCCAGGTAATTTTTAAATTTTTTGTAGAGGTGAGGTCTCACCATGTTGCCCAGGCTGGTCTTGAACTCCTGGGCTCAAGTGATCCTCCCGCCTCGTCCTCCCTAAGTGCTGGGATTACAGGTGTGAGCTGCTGCACCCAACCTTATTATATAGACTTTCAATAAAAGTTCTTAGTTCTGAGTCTTTTTTTTTTTTTCCGACGCAGTCCTCGCTCTGTCGCCCAGGCTGGAGTGCAATGGCCGGATTCTCAAGCTCCTGCACTTCCACCTTCCTGGGTTTACAACCATTCTCCTGGCCTCAGCCTCCAGAGTCAGCCAGGATGGTCTCGATCTCCTGACCTCGTGATCCGCCCGTCTCGGCCTCCCAAAGTGCTGGGATTACAGGCTTGAGCCACTGCGCCCCGCCAGTTCTGAGTCTTATCTCAATTCCCTGCCATGCCTGGGATACCTAAATCTGGAGCTTCTTAGGTTCAATTTTTCCAGATTCCAAATTTAACTCCACAGGTGAGGGTTCTAGGGAACCAAGTGACAGACAGAGATCTGTTCTCTTTTTACCAGACAGGTCATCCTAGTTTATCCCTTAATGACAATAGGACTTTCTTTTTTTTTTTTTTTTTTTTTTGAGACGGAGTCTCGCTCTGTCGCCCAGGCTGGAGTGCAGTGGCGCGATCTCGGCTCACTGCAAGCTCTGCCTCCCGGGTTCACGCCATTCTCCTGCCTCAGCCTCCCGAGTAGCTGGGACTACAGGCGCCCACAACCGCGCCTGGCTAATTTTTTGTATTTTTAGTAGAGACGGGGTTTCACCGTGGTCTCGATCTCCTGACCTTGTGATCCACCCGCCTCGGCCTCCCAAAGTGCTGGGATTACAGGCGTGAGCCACCGCGCCCGGCCAGACAATAGGACTTTCTTATAGAAAGTCTCAAACATAGGGTTACCAGATTTAATAAGTAAAAATACAAAATGCCTGGTTAAATTAGAATTTCAGATAAACAATGCAATACATCGGGCATACTTATACTAAAAGTAATTTGTTTCTTTGAAATTCATATTTGACCCATAGCCTGCATTTTATTATTTATTTTTATTTAATTAATTAATTTTTTTGAGATGGAGTCTCACTGTGTTGTGCAGGCTGGAGTACAGTGATGCGATCTCGGGTCACTGTAACCTCTGTCTCCCGGGTTCAAGTGATTCTCCTGTCTCAGCCCCCTGAGTAGCTGGGACTATAGGTGCATGCCACCACACCCAGCTAATTTTTGTTATTTTTAGTAGAGAACAGGGTTTCACTATGTTGGCCAGGCTGGTCTCGAACTCTTGACCTCAGGTTATCCACCCGCCTTGGCCTCCCAAAGTGCTGGGATTACAGGTGTGAGCCACCACACCCAGCCCACTGTTCTAATTTCTACCACCATAGTGTACTCTAGCCTGTTCTCAAACTTCATGTACCTAGGCTCATAGATCATACTCTTGTATCCGGCTTCTCTCATTTAATATAATGTTTAGTTTTTTTTTTTTTTTTTTTTTTTTTGTGTGTGTGTGTGTGTGTGTGTGTGTAACTGAGGGGAAATTCATGTAACATAAAATAAATTGTTGTAAAGTGAACAATTCGGTGGCATTTAGTACATTCACAATCCGGCACAACCACCATTTCTGTCTAGTTCCAAAACATTTTCATTACCCCCAAAAGAGTCCTCATTCCTGTGAAGCACTCAGCATTCTCCCCACCCCCAGCATCTGGCAACCACTAATCTGCTGTCTGTCTAACCTTTTCTTTTTATGGTTCATCAGTTCTTTACTGTCTGGTAAAATCCCACAAGCAGAGAAGGATTATTTCAAAAGGGCTCCAAGAAAGGAAAGCCAGGGGAACAAAAGCAGCACCAGGTAAAGTAAAATTCGGCCAGATGATCAAGCCTCAAAGAAGGAAAACATTCCTAACCCCAAGATGGAGTCTACTCTTCATCTTAGGCAGAAGGTTCCTATTCAAACCAGTCTTGAAAGCTGCCCTGGTGCTATCTACGTGAGCAGTGTTTAATTTTGTATCAACAAAGCACAATTCAGTGGCAATGTTGAAAGAGAAAAAGCCGCACAGCTGGCTTTCTCTGCAAATGACATTGACATAGACCAAAGTAAATGTTAGCATCCTGGAAACAGCAGCAGGTGTCTTAAGTAGAACAGCAGGTACTGGGGAGAACTGTGGCCACCTGCTAAGTAGCATCTACTCAGAATTCATTTGGAACAATCATAAAAGTTATAATTTCAGACATCTGGATGCATTTGATCATGGATCTTTTTGCTGTGTCTTTCTTTGCATTGCTGGAGATTGCTGGACAATTTCTGATGTTTTCTAGACAGGTTCTTGCCCACCACCATATGTTTAGCACCCAGTACCTAGTGTGATGTTTGCTACATAGTAGGTGAACAATAAACATTTTTCGGGGTGAATGAATGAGCAAACCATCTGGGGCACTGACTCGAAAAGTGGAATCATAAAATCACTGCAGTTTAGACTTAGGGGAGAACTAAAGAGAAGGAAAAACAAGCTAATAAATGAACTCCTGGGTGGGCGAGGTGACATACACCTGTAATCCCAGCACTTTGGGAGGCTGAGGCAGGCAGATCACTTGAGGCCAGGAGTTTGAGACCAGCCTGGCCAACATGGTGAAACTCCATCTCTACTAAAAATACAAAAATTAGCTGGGCATTGTGGCAGGCGCCTGTAATCCCAGCTACTTGGGAGGCTGAGGTGCAAGAATCGCTTGAATCAGGGAGGTGGAGGCTACAGTGAGCCGAGATTGCACCACTGCACTCCAGTCTGGGCAACAGAGCAAGACTCTGTCTCAAAACAAACAAACAAACAAAAAACCCAAAAAAACAAAAAGCCAAGAACTCCTGCGAGGGACTGTGCAAGGTGGTTTACATGCATGACTCCCTTTAAGCCTCACAATTACCTTCAAGGTTATCATGATGCCAGTTTTACAGATGAGGAAACTGATGGTCACAGAGGCTGTCTCCCAGAATGCCAAGTCGAAACCTTTCACTTGGAAGCTGAGGAACTTCAGGCCCAAAGCTCTCAGGGGTCTTGAACTAGTCGACAGAGCTAGCCTCGTTACCAGCCCACTTAGGATGTTTCCAGTTCTGTTTTTGGCCGAAGGCACACTGTAATGATTCCAGAAGCAATATGACCATCAATGTCCAAGGAACAGAAAGTTTCCAAAAGCAAAGTGTTTGTCTATTAAAACAGGATGGGGACATTAAGACTCCTCGGCAGGTTTTAGGCAAATAAGCCTTTACAGGTTACCCAAGGTGGCTTCATGTCTCGAGGTCTCAGGAGATAGACATGGATGAGCAGCAGTAGGTCAGAGGTTCAGGTGCTAGACAGGCCTGGTGCTGGAGCCATGGGGATTTGCCAGCAGGTCCTGGCTGCATCACTTTTAACCTTTCTGTGCCTCAGATGAGCAACTGATTAGGGATGTACTGAGTCCCTGCCAGGTGCTCTGCCAAAGACGACAAATTTGGCCAATAATAGTTACTGAGGGCTATCAAGTGGCTTATAACCTTTGGGAGTTACAAAGGTACATACATAAGATCCAGTCCCTATTAGCTGGGTGTGGTGGTACATGTCTGTTGTCCCAGCTACTCAGGAGGCTGAGGCAGGAGGATCATATGAGCCTGAGAGGTGGAGACTGCAATAAGCCATGATCACACCACTGCACTCCAGCATAGGCGAGAATGAGATCCTGTCTCAAAAAAACAAACAAACAAACAAAAAAATCCAGTCCCTGCTTTTTTCTCTAGTTGGGTAACAAATCATCCTGCTTTGCTGGAACTGTCCCAGTTTAAGCACTGAAAATCCCCCATCCCAGGAAACCCCTCAGTCCTGGGCACACAAGGCCAATTGGTCCCCGTGGAAGGTCTTGATGGGAAGGGGAAGGGAAACCACACAGGAGCTAATGATGAACACCAACCAGCTGGGGACATGTGACGCCACGTCTAATATAGAGGCCCCCAAGGGACTCAGGACAGCAGTGCTATACACACCATATCAGACCCTGCAGCAAAAGGAAACACCAAGAGTACTGATCTTTCTTTGTTTAGAAATGTGATATTTTGGGCCAGGTGCAATGGCTCACACTTGGGAGGCTGACATGGGAGGATCACTTGAGCCCAGGCTGCCTCCCAAAGTGCTGAGATTACAAGCGTAAACCACCATGCCCAGCCCAAAGCAGTTTTTTTTTTTATTGTTGTTTTTGAGGCGGAGTTTCACTCTTGTTGCCCAGGCTGGAGTGCAATGGCACAATCTTGGCTCACTGCAATCTCCGCCTCCCGAGTTCAAGCAATTCTCCTGCCTCAGACTCCCCAGTAGCTGGAATTACAGGCATGCACCGCCACACCCAGCTAATTTTGTATTTTTAGTAGAGACGGGGTTTCTCCATGTTGGTCTGGCTGGTCTCAAACTCCCGACCTCAGGTGATCCACCTGCCTCGGCCTCCCAAAGTGCTGGGATTATAGACATGAGGAGCCATGCCCGGCCAGCAGTTTTTAAATCTCGTGTATGACAGTTACTTCTGTGTCAGACACACATAGTCATGTGTGCATGTCCTCCTGGATTGTGGGTTCTTTGAAACAAAGTTCATGTGTAAATACCATTTTATCATCCATAGAACTAGTGCAAAGCCTCCAAATGTGCCAGGCATTCAGTGAATATTTGGAGAATTTGAGAATCAACAATAATTCCTAAGATATATTGAGTACCAGCCCTGAACTAAGCTTCAACTTTTAGATGTTAACTCGAATTTCTTTTCTTTTTTATTTTTTTAAGTCTGTTGGCTGGACACGGTGGCTCACGCCTGTAATCCCAGCACTTTGGGAGGCCAAGGTGGGTAGATCACGAGGTCAGGAGATTGAGACCATTCTGGCTAACACGGTGAAACGGCCTGTCTTAGCTAAAAAAAGAAAGAAAAAGAAAAAAAATTAGCCAGGCGTTAGCGTGAGTGGGCACCTGATAGTCCACAGACTACTCAAGTGAGGCGAGGCAGGAGAATGGCTGAACCCAGGAGGTGGAAACTTGCAGTGAGCGAGATCGCCGCAACCGCACTCCAGCCTAGGCGACAGAGCAAAGACTCCATCTCAAAAAAAAAAAAAGTTTGTTAAACTGCAGTATATAGTTGAATCTCAATATTCCCACCAAAAAGTTAAGAATTGAAAGAAAAACGCAGCCAGGGCAAAATGGCTCATGCCATATAATCTCAGCTCTCAGGAGACTGAGGCTGGAGGAGCTTGTGGCCAGGAGTTCAGACCCAGCTTGGGCAACATAGTAAGTACCGCCGTCTAAAAAATAGCTGGGCATGCATTGGTGGCGTGCCGTATAGTCCTAGCAACGTTGGGTGAGGCTGAGGTGGGAGGATCACGCATGATTCCAGGGAATCTGAGGCTGCAGTGGAGCTATGATGGCACGCACTGCACTCGCAGCCGTGGAGCAACAAGCAAGGACGCCTGTTGTCTCGAAATAATAATTAAATAAGCAATAATTAAAATTTAAAAAAAAGGAAAAAACGTCGTAGCATGGACGTTAATATTCTAGAATTCTGTGGAGTCAGCTCCAACCTCTAACTTCTTGACAACCCCATGAGGGTGGTTCTTACTAGTATTCCCCAGTCTCTGAAGGAAAACAGAGAGGCGTCTGAAAGTGAAGGACTTAATTTAGATCACCAAATTTATAGGTAGTGAAGCTGTCCGTTTTTTGTTTTGAGAGCGTTTCCACTCTTGTCGCCCTGCTAGAGGTACCGAGTGGTGGCAGCGATCTCGGCTTCAGCTGCAACCTCCCCCTCCTGGGGTTCAAGCGATTCTCCTGCCTAGCGCCTCCCAAGTAGCTGGGGATTACAGGCACACGCACCATGCCTGCGCTAAATTTTGTGTATTGTTAGTAGAGACGGGGTTTCTCCATGTTGGTCAGGGCTGGTCTTGAAGCTCCTGACTCAGGGTTTTCCGCCACGCCTCAGCTCCGTAACCAGTGTTGGGATTACAGGCGTGGAGCCACTGCGTTGGCCATGTTTTGTTTTTTTTTAAGAGGGGACCAGGGGCGTTGGCTGAGGTGCGGAGGCCACACCTGTAATCCAGAACCTTTGGTGGAGGGGCTGAAGCAGGGCAGATCACTTGAGGTTTTGAGACTGGCCTGGCCAACGATGGTGAAACTGAGCATCTCGTTTACTAAAAATGTACAAAAATACCTAGGCCAGGTGCGGTGGCCACGGCCTGTTAATCCCGAGCATTTTGGGAGGCGAGACGGGGCGCGATTCACGAGGTCAAGGAGAGTCGAGACCATCCTGGGCGCAACATGCGGTGAAACCCACGTCTCTACTAAAATACCAAAAAAAATTAGCCGGGCGTAGTGGCGGGCACCTGGTAGTCCCAGCGTACTCGGGGGCTGAGGCAAGAGAGAATGGCGTGAACCCGGGGAGGCGGGTTGCAGGTGAGCCGAGAGTGTTCGGCACTGCACTCCAAGCCGGGACCTGAGCGAGAGTCTGCTCTCAAAAACAAAACAAAACAACAAAAAGAAACACAAAAATTAGCAGGCGTCGGTGGGTGCTTCCTGTAGTCCCAGCTACTCAGGAGGCTGAGGCAGGAGAATCACTTGAACCTGGAAGGCAGAGGTTCCAGTGAGCTGAGATTGCGCCACCGCACTCCAGCCTGGGTAACAGAGCAAGACTCCATCTCAGAAAAAAATTTTAAAAAGGGATGGGATCTTGCTCTGTCACTCAGGCTGGAGTGCAGTGGTGTGATCATAGCTCACTGCAGTCTTGAACTCCTGGGCTCAAGTAATCCTCCCAGTCCACCTCAGCCTCCCAAGTAGCTGGGACTACAAGTGCACACCATGCTGCCCAGGTAATTATTTATGTTTTGTAGACATGATGTTTTGCTCTGTTGTCCACTCTGGTCTCCCACTTTGACCTCCGAAAAGTGCTGGAATTGCAGGTACGAGCCACCTTGTCCAGCCATGAAGCTCGTACTGGACCCCAGGCAACTGGATTCTACTCTCTGCATGCCTAACCATCAAGCTGCACTGCCCAAGTCAAACTGACTCTTGCAGCATCAGACCTCAAACATCATCAACTTGGTTTTCTTCACTTCAAAGATGAGGAACAGAGAGGTACAAGTGTTAATAACAGTAGAACTAGGACCAGAGCTCTGGATTCCAGGCTTCCAGTCCAAGGGCACATTCTCATGGTTGTCTTTCAAAGCAAGGCACCCCTGGGGAGCTTACATGTCCCGCCAGGGCCTTCAGGTGCTATTTACTCAGCTAGGTGTGGACTCTGCCCACCTTCTGGGCTATTGTTTGCACAGCAAATGTCACCCAGCACCCCCTCCAACCAAGGAATGGGAACAAAGACCGAAAAAACATTATTTTGCTGGTTTCAGACACCTTGACATGAGTTTTCAGTTTCTATCTAATAAAATGCAAATTACTGAAAGAGGGGGTTGCCTGAGAAGTGTCACGTCCTAAAAGCAGTGGACCAGGCCTGGATCTTTTCCATGCCTGGGCAACCTCCAGGACATGGGGCAAGGAATCTAGATTTGAATCCCAGTTCCATGAGCAGGGCATGGTGGCATATATCTGTAGTTCCAGCTACTTGGGAGGCTGAGGTGGGACGATCATGTGAGCCTGGGAAGTAGAGGCTGCAGTGAGCTGTGATCACGCCACTGCATTGCAGCCTGGGCGACAGAGTGAGACCCTGTCTCAAAATAATAATAATAATAATAATATCCCAGTTCCAACACTGACAATTTCATGGTCATCGACTTAACCTCACAGCACCTCATTCTCCTCTGAGAAAGGCGGCCAATTCCTAACTTATGGGAACCAAAGAGAGAATGGATGCCAAGTGCTCACACAGTGCCTGGCACATGTCCAACACTCGTTAGCTATCCTTCCTAAAGTTGACTTATTTCAGACATCTCATGTACGTCTCTTTGAAAATAAAGGAAGCTTTAAAGTATAGAGGACAAAAACAAGGCTTAGGGTTTTTCCCTACTCTGACTTTACCTGGCTTCTTCCTGGAAAAGGGTTCCAAGAACTTTTAGAAGTAGAAAGTGAACAAACAAGGGAGATTTTAATCTGTAAAAACAGTCCTACAGATTCCCTCTTTCTCAGGGAGGCCACTGCCTGCAGCTAGAAGCAAATCCACTTAATCAGTAACTTTAGCTCCCTGATCAGTTTCCAACAAGCAGTTCCTATTCTTGAACCAGGATATGCAAACATGGGCACTTACTGGAAGGGAGGTTTCAGGGCCTCTGGGATTTCGTCAGCTGCTCACTCTCCCAGGAAAACTTGTGGGACCTGTCAAGCCAGCGGCCAAGGACGAAGGCAAGCTGAACATTTCAAGGTCTACTGGGCCTTCCCCCTTTCAGTTTTTAATTCAGGCAGAACACATGGAAGAAATGCCAAGGAGGAAACTGTGGATTTATGGCTGCCAAGCCAAGTGGGGTGCAGAAAGAAAACAAGAGGAAATACAAAAGGATGCCTACCTCATTGTACAAAGTGAGAAGGCAGGACAGGTGCACACAGCACACCCTTGTCCTATCTCAGGAGCCCTGGGTTCCAGCCCAGCTCCTGATCCCAAGAGATACCTTTCTTGGAACTCCAAGGGAGAGCAGCAACACTGACCAAGCCCAGAGACCTGAAGTTCATTCCCATTGCTTTAGGCACAGCATCAAAGCAGGGAAGTGGGGGTGGTGAGTGTGTAAAATTTAAGGCCAATTGCAGAGGTGGGGGAAGGATATTCTCTCTGTCTTTCTCTTTCTCTCTCCTACACACACACACACACACACATACACACACACACACATACACACACACACACATACACACACACACACACATACACACACACACACATATCCTGCCTCCCATTTTTAAAACAAGTTGTAGATTAAGGTCAGGTGAGGTGACTCAAACCTGTAATCCCAGCAGTTTGGGGGGTCTAGGCAGGCGGATCACCTGAGGTCAGGAGTTCGAGACCAGCCTTGCCAACATGGTGAAACCCCGTCTACTAAAAGTACAAAACTTAGGTGGGCGTGGTGGTTGGTGCCTGTAATCCCAGCTATTCAGGAAGCTGAGGCACAAGAATCACTTGAGCCTGGGAGGCAGAGGTTGCAGTGAGCTGAGATCATACCACTGCACTATAGCCTGGGCAACAGAGCAAGACTCCATCTCAAAAAAGAAAAAAGTTGTTGGTTAAAAGAGAAATATTAAGGAAGTATTGAAGGGGCTGGAGCGAAGGTAGGAAAGAGACAAGGGACAAGAGTTAAAATAAGTATATACAGAAATCTGAAAGGATCAGCCGGGCATAGTGGCTCATACCTGTAATCCCAGCACTTTGGGAGGCTGAGGCGGGTGGATCACCTGAGGTCAGGAGTTTGAAACCAGCCTGGCCAACATAGAAAACCCTGTCTCTACTAAAAATACAAAAAATTAGCCAGGCATGGTGGAAGGTACCTCTAATCCCAGCTACTTGGGAGGCTGAGGCAGGAGAATCGCTTAAACCTGGGAGGCAGAGGTTGCAGTGAGCCAAGATCACACCACTGTACTCCAGTCTGGGCAACAGTGCGAGACTCCATCTCAAAAAAAAAAAAAAAAAAAAATCTGGAAGGATCTTCTTATACTGCCTTGGGGACAGTAGCAGGTGTTTAAGGCTGAACATATTTTTTTCTTTAGTTTCAAGTCATTTTTAGCACTAGATGAACTGTTATTGCTTTCTTGAGATTCTATCTCAGGTGCAGGTGGCTTCTAGCTTCTTTGTCAGGGAAAAGAGGCATGAAGAAAAGAAGCTAAATTCTGTGCAAATTTCTACTCATCCTTCAAAGTCCATTTGAACATCTCTTTATGAAGGCTTCCCTGACGGCCCTGGGGAGTTAGGCGTCTTTCTTTTTCCTCGGTACCACCACTTAGGGATGGTTACAGTTACACTGCATTGGAACTATTTGCAAGTCTCTCTCTTCTTCTGGATTCTGGTCCCCTGAGAGCAAGATAAAGGCACCGGTGTTCAGGATAAATGCATGACCCCAAATCCAAGGTTTTCTGGCAGTGGTTATGATCACGATGCTAGAAATATCAGTTTATTGCAGTTGTCATGGCTAATTGTACCCAGCTTCTGCACAAAAAATAAAAAAGCATTGAATGCAAATAATAGAGCACAGGTGAAGGGTGGTGAATTTCAGGAGAACACTAAGTCTGCACAAAAGCAAATTGTTCTCCTTCTTCTCATGCTGGTACCCCGCACTTGAGCGAGCTCTCAGCGCTGTGTCCACCCAGGGCTGGACGTGCAGTGGCGCATCTGCGGCTCCAGCTGCAAGCTCCGCCTCCCAGGCTTCACTCCATTGCTCCTGCCTCAGCCGTCCGAGTAGCTGGGACTCAGGCGTCCACCACCCACGCCCGGCTAGTTTTTTTGGTATTTTTAGGTAGGAGACGGGGTTTCACCATGTTAGCCAGAATGGTCTCGATCCTCGCTGACCCGTCGTGATCCACCGGCCTCGGCCTCCCAAAGTGCTGGGATTACAGGCTTGAGTCCACCGCGCTCCGGCCCAAAGTTTTTGTATTTTAGTAGAGACAGGGTTTTGCCATGTTGGCCAGGCTAGCTCAAACTCCTGACTCAGGTGATCCACCCGGCCTTGGCGCTTCCAAAGTGATGGGGATTACAGGCTGTGA